TGTGGAGGCCATCCTGGTCTACCCACTGAGTTCCAGGCCAGTCAGGACTCCATAGTGAGACCTTGTCTCAAAAAACTTAACTAAGTAAAAAGCTCCATCTGTGCATGGTGACTTCTGCCTGTAATCCTAGCAGGAAGAGCATCTCAAGTTTAAGACCATCCAAGGGTACATAGATCCTGCCCCATTAAAAACCAAGAATGAATAATTCTTTTATGGTGAGATCATTCATAAGCATGTTTTCTTTTTTCTCTTTAATTTTACATAGTGTCTTTCAAACTTTTAAATTTGTTATTTTCAATTTGATTCTATTTCCAATTAGGCTTTTGAATTGGTCATCAGAACTAATTGTTTTGGTTTGTTTTTTGATGGTACTGTTGTTAAGACAGGGTCTCACTATTTGTCTTAGGCTGGCCGGGAACTCAAGTGCTGGGATTAAAAGCATGTGCCACCACACCCAGCCCTATCAGAACTAGTTCTATGGAAATTAGCAGTGAACGGTCCCATTAGTATCTTATCAGCATTTGACATACATAGTTCATTGCTTTGTTTGAGACAGGGTCTTACTGTGTAGCCCTGTCTGGCCTCAAATGCAAGAGATCCATCTGCCCCCCCCCCCCCCCCCCCGGAGTACTAGGTTCAAAGGCCTGCACCACCACGCCTAGCAGTTCATTATTTCTTTAATGACTTCCAAGACGTCTCTGTTTCCTCCTGCCACATACATGCTCTTTCTCATTTTCTTTGATGCTTGCTCAGTATTGTTGGGGATGTCCACTACAGAGCTCAGAATTAACCTATACATAACTGAAGCTTTGATCAGCCCTCTGAAACCTACCATCCTTCATCCTGCATCCTTATGATTGTTCAACCAAAAGAAACTTGAACACTGACTTCAGAATTTATCAAGACAGGTAGCCTATTCCTTAACTGGCAGCACTATGATTAAATCATCTGTCTCTCCCCTAGGTATTGCAGTAGTCTTCTCTCTGGTTCCCCAGCATTCATGCATGTCCCCTACATGTTTTTTTCTCCAAAATGAAAGTCAGAATAGTCTTGAAAATATGACCAATGGTGTCATTGCTTAAAATTCATTAATTCCATGCCTGGAGAGATGGCTCAGCAGTTAAAAGCACAGGTTGCTCTTGCAGAAGACCCGAGTTTGATTCCCAGCACCCTCATAGCACGAAACAACCATCTGTATCTGTAGTTCAGAAGATCTGACACCCTCTTCTGACCTCCACCCACATTGCATGACGTGGGTGCATTTACACACATGGAGGCAATATACACACATAAAATAAAAATAATTTTTAAAAATCCATTCCTTCTATTTCATCCAGAGTAAAAGTCATAGTTTATACAATGATAACTCATGATCTGTTCCCTGCCCCCATGGTTTCTGTCAGGCTGTATGTTCTACTGTTCCTTGTCTCCGTGTCAGCTGTCTTGGCCTTCTTCCCTTTCTCAAACATGCTAGATATATCCAGCAAACAACCTTTGCAATTCACTGTTCTCTCTGCCATGAAAAACTGCTCTTCTAAATATTCATACAGCTAATTCTCCATTGTCCTTTATATACCTTATCATTTATCATCAACTCAAGGACTAACCACTTTAAATTTGAGACCTTGCCAGGCATGGTAGCCCATGACTTTAATCCCAGCTATTTCTGTGAGTTTTAGGCCATCCTGGTCTAAATAGTGTATTCCAGGCCAACCAGGGCTGGAATCATTTGTTTTAATAGAGTAGTATGGTGAGACCCTGTCTCAAAAAAAAAAAAAAAAGAAAAGAAAATTTGAGACTTAACTACCCCCCATGGCTGTCCCTTTACTCTGCTTAATTGTTTTCCATAGCAGTTTTTTTTTTTACATTTATTTATTTAGTATGTATGCATATCTGTGCATATGTAGGGCAGGCACGTGTGTAGAAGTCAGAGGACATCTTGGGGGACTCAGTTCCCTCCTTTCACACCTGAGTTCCAGGGATCAAGCTCAGGTCATTGGGTTTGTTGAGAAGCACCTTTACCAACTGAACAATCTTGCTGGCCCAACATGACAAGCTTTAACAGTGACATATATACGTATGTAACATTATGTATGTCTGTTCCTCTCCTACATCTCAGCTAGGATATAAGTTCTATAAGTGCAGTGATTTTTTTTTTTTTTTTTTTTTTTTTTTTTTTTTGGTTTCCAACTGTGTACCCAAAATGTTAGTGTGTAGGGGGCATTCAGTTAATGTGTCTTGACTGGTTAACTAAGAGATTGAAACCCAGTCTGAAAACCAGGTGAAAAATGCTGGTATACTGACTAGTCTCAATCTTTAATTTTCTTAATGAGGTGCATATGCAACAAAAGCTTTTGGAATGAATTAAAATTTTCATTTTTTATTTTCAACTAATCTTATTTTTATCCAAAATATTTGCTACAGTCACTCTTACAATAAGTAAATAACTACTTTTTTGTTACTACCTTTAAAGTTACATAACCGAAAAATAGTCATTCACTATTAGCAGTTTGTATTCTTATTTTTTCCATCCATAAGCATATTCTACACTGAATTAATGTTGTTTCACACTTTGGAATTTGGGGGTGTTGTTTGTTTTGTTTTGGCATGAGCTGCAGTATATATAGTTTGTAAGAACAATAATGCCAGGTGTGATGGTGCACTACTGAAATCTTAGCACTCAGGAGGCTGGGCAGGAGGATCACTAGTTTGAAGCCAGCCTGGAATACGTAGGGAGACTTTGCCTACTCCACCCACTTCTCCCCAAAAGAGAATATGACTGTCAAGCCACACTAACTTAAAACTCAGTTTTGTCAATTACCAGCTTTGGAACTCTGGACAAGTTACTTAAGTTTTCTTTGCCTATGTTTGTTCTATAACATGGAAATAATAATACTAACTACCTCACAAAGTGTTAAATCATGACACTTGATACATCCATGTGCATATAAATAGCTGTAATCATCAACAGTGTATATTGTCCTGCCTCAATATTTATCATCACTATAAAATATCCTGGGTTTAGAAAGTGTTTTATTCATCCAGACCTTT